ATGGATGGATGGATGGATGGATGGATGGATGGATGGATGGATGGATGCAGTACAATTTTGGCCTTCTTGTGTAAGTTATAGCTAGATTTTGTTTTTACTTCTGCTAATCAATTGAATAATGTGTGAACTAAGACACAAACCCCATCCCATTTAGCCCTAGACCAGGGGTCCCCAAACTTGGCAATTTTAAGACTTGTGGACTTCAACTGACTTGTGGAAAATTGCCAAGTTTGGAGACCTTTTCCCTGGACATTCTTCCTTACTATCACTCCTTACCTTTTGGCAGTACAGTGACTGAAAAACAAACAGAAAAACATAACCATGAGAAATTATTTTTAGTTATTAGAAAGATGTCAGTTCAGCCCCTATTTTGAATTCATGGGTGGTGGTTGATTTGTTGTTTTGGTTTCCTTGGTTTCTTGTGGATGATTCAACTATTTACTGACCTCATTTCTGCTTAACAGATTCCATAATTATGGTTTTTTACAAATCTGTACAGGTAGTATTCAACACAGTTCATTTAGTGAACGCTCAAAGTTACAAAGGCACTGGGAAAAAAATGACTTACAGCCGTTTTTCACACAACTATTGCAGCATCCCCACAGTCACATAATCAAAATTTGGCAACTGACTCCTATTTATGATGGTTGCAATATCCCAAGGTCATGTGATCAACTTTTGAGACCTTCCGACAAGCAAAGTCAATGAGGAAGCCAGATTCACTTAACAAACGTGACTAACTTCAGAACTGCAGTGATTCACTTAACAATCATGGCAAGAAAGTTAGTAAAATGGGGCAGCATTCATTTAACAACTGTCTCATTTAGCAACAGGACTTCTGGACCCAATTGTTTTCTTAGGTTGAGGACTACCTGTATTTACCTGAAAGAAAGAGCAAGTTCCCCTAATCCTTCAACTTTAAAAACCTTTAAGAAGTCTTCTTCAATCAATGTTTCTCAACCTAGCGACTTTTAAGATGCATGCTCCTTGCTAAGGAACTAAATTAATGTCTATGGAGATTCTCAATCATCCAGGTCATGGTTGTCCCAAAGGTGCTTTTCAAAAGGCAATGGGATTTTATTTTTTTTATTTGGGGGGGGGGGCTTTTTTCCTCTCCTATAAAATTTTTCACGTCAGTCAGAACTGAATCAGAGCTTCAGTCAGAACTGCAGAAGCTTCTTGGATAAGAAGCAAAATATTTTAGCAGAGAAAAAAAAATCAAGAAACTCCAGTTACCTTTTGAAAAGCACCTTGGGGAGGACTAAACCAATATGTCAAAATACATGTCAGCCATCAGCATTTTTTATGTACAAGGCATTAAAAAAATGAACTGCATTCAGCAAAATATATATTGCAGAAAAGTGTCCAATGAGGGTATCCTGTGGCCCTCCAGACTTTGCTGAACCACAGCTTCCAGTTTCCCAGGCTGCTGGGAGTTGTAGTCTAACCTGATTTGGAGAGGCGGAAGGTACCTAGTCTTAGAAAGAAAAAAGAAAGCCTTAGGTTGGGCAAGCTGTTTCCTGGATGGGGTGATCACATAGAAATGGAGATGTATAAAGGTTTGTCAAATGAATGCCGGAAATGTAAAAGTACAGCGGGGATCTTTTATCATCTATGGTGGACATCAGAAGTGGTTTTCAGCAGGTTCTGACCAGTTCTGGAGAACTGGTAGTGGAAATTTTGAGTAGTTTGGAGAATCAGCAAATCCCACCTGTGACTGGCCCCGCCAACCTCATCTATTCTCTGCCTCCCGAGTCCCAGCTGATCAGCTGGGTCTCCGCTTGTTGCCCTGCAAAGGAGAACGGAGCTGGAAAGCAGGTTAGTGGGGTAGGGAGGGAATGGAGATTTTACAGTATCCTTCCCTTACCACGGCCACCAAGCCACACCACGCCCACAGAACTGGTAGTAAACATTTTTAAATCCCACCACTGGTGCACATGTGATAAAGTTAAAAAAAAATTGGAGTATGCATGATTCATATTTTAATACAAAAAGTTTTGAAAACAGAGATAAAAATGAAACCAGAACTTTTCCATTTGGGTTTCATGGAAAAAGAACTAGAGAAAAAAAATTGGAACTTCATTGTTATATATGTTGACAGCAGCAAGACTATTGTATGCACAAAAATGAAAGGACACTTCGATTCCTACTATGGACGAATGGTTGCAGAAGTTGATGGTATTGGCTGAAATGGCAAAACTGACCACTTTGATTAAAGAAAAGAATGTAAGCACTTTTGTTTCCACACGGAGACTGCTTCTGAACTTTGTGCTCGGTGTGGAAAAGAATGAAACTCTTATTGATTAGACTGATAGATCTTTAAAGAAATGGCTTGTTCATATCATTACAGAAAAGCAAAAAGTTGTGATTTGAGGTGAATGCCTTATTTTACTGTAACAGAGAGAGTCAATGCTTCTTTTTCTTTCTTATCTTTCCTCACTTCTCTTTCCCCTTCCCCTGCCCTATTGCTTTTCTATTTACTTTGTATTTTGTATTTTATAATACTTTATAACTCAATAAAAAATGTGAATGGGAAGATAAAAAGAAAGGAAGATTGCATTGTGAGAGTCCAGTGTTGCCTTAAGGCAGGGGTCTTCAAAAATGGCAACTTTAAGACCTGTGGACTTCAACTCCCAGAATTCCTCTTCCAGTCATGTTAGCTTGGGAATTCTGGGAGTTGAAGTCCACAGGTCTTAAACTTGCCATGTTTGAAGACCCTTACCTTAAGGGGTCTCAGTCTAGCCTTGCAGCTTTGGCAATATCTATTCAACACCTCATCCTTGTCCCAAAATCCTCTGCACACAGTGCTAAGTTCCCCTTCTCCCCTTTCTCCCTGTTTGTACCAGGAGCTTTTTGCAGCGTTAAAGCTCTCTCTTTTCCCCATGGCTTCCAAAGAAATAGGCACTTACCTAAATGCAGGGACTTGTCTTAGGGCCGATGCCCACACCTCTGGTTCCCTGTGGATACAACCATCAAATGATGTCACAAGAGGTTCTGGTAGAGGTGATATTCAGCAGGTTCTGGCCAGTTCTGGAGAACCGGTAGTGAAAATTTTGAGTAGTTCAGAGAACTGGCAAATACTCCCTCTGACTGCCCCCCCCCCCCATCTATTCTCTGCCTCCCGAGTCCTAGCTGATCGGCTGGGTCTTCTTT